TCGGGTCGGTAAGAAGGCCTAAATTAGAGCTCGATAAGAACGTCGACCTACCGTGCTCTCCTAAATGTCATCTAACAATTGTTGATCTTCCCGTGGGAGAGTCCGATGTAGGGTGGTATAAAGGAAGTCCGAGTTACCATAGTGGTCAAAGGAGGCATTAGCATATGTAATTCGCCGAAGTCGATCATGGTATCGTAAAACAAGAGCAACCGGATCTTGGTGCGGAGTCATAGTGAGCCTGTGTAGCTCGGTCCTTAGTGTAGTCGGGGTCGCTCGTTGCTAATGCATCCTAGGCATGCAAGGCACTCGATACAAAGTCGGCATCTACAACGATAGGGTTTATCATTAATAATAATGTCCAACATAACTCCATACACATTACACAAAACAATAACAATCATTCATAGTTAAGAAAACTAGAAATTAAAATTTCCCATCAAGGAGCAAATCGATCCTCGGGCTCATGTTGCACTTACGCTTCTACCCAACTTCCTAAACCATAGCTTTGATACCACCCCGTGACGCCCCCTCCACGGCTTACTTGCCAATTACCCAAAAAGAGTGGCTAGGTGAGTAGCGCGTCACGCCGACCCATTCAATCCGACTTAAACCCTACTACGTCCATGCTCGGTATCGTAACAACATACTACATATTACGTCTTAAAAGATGTACAACACACATTACATTACAAAAGTATTCACAATGAAATAAAGTACAAAATTTATTTACGAGTACCATTGAAATGTTTATCGATACCCTAATCCGAAATTACAATCAAAATAAACTGTGATATGTTTGTGTCATATATGAGCCTTTTTGAAGGATCCGACAACATCCTTACTATTTTGAGTCATTCCTGTCATAACATACAAATAACAACGAGGTGAGCCAAAGCTTAGTAAGTAAGATGATACATGTGATATGCACTCGAAGTTTTGTTTTCCATTCTACCCATCCATTTTTTAATTCGGGTACCCTAGGTATTAGAAAGTCCATGCGTTCCAACTCTCGGTGATCATGTTATCACCTACTACTCTATTACTCTCTCTCGGTGATCTCATTATCACCTACTGCTAGCAATGGAATTATCCCTCGCTTAACGGTGTTAATAATATAGCACGGACATGGTTTCTTGCTATTACCCATTTCATTAAATTCGGTTTCCAAACCGTATTATTGCTTGTCTTAATGATCTTTCTAGTTTCCATTCCATCCCCAATGCACATGATGCACATGATGTTACATGTATCGGGTCAAACATACCCAACATATACAAGATTTGATTTCGGATAATTTCGTAGGTCCAATAGGGCTTCGGATAATCTCATACCACTTATCATAATATTCACCTCATTGGAAGTCACACCTTCTTTCACCCTTAACTTGTATAGTTATTAGCTCTGTGAACCACTTTTTAAGGTTTTATGGTAGTATTTTTTACATTAGAAGTCTTTAGGTTCAAGTCTCGATTCTCTTGTAGCTTTACCTTTCTATCTCTAATTTCTATTTATTTGAGCCTAATAGACCATTTATTAAGTTGTCTTGGTAAAAGAATTGGAAACCAAGAAAGTATGAAACAAATGAATTTTTTTTGTGACCAGATCAATTACACGAGCAAGGACACACCCGTGTGGGAGGCCGTATAACTCTTTGACTTGAAAAAAACATGTTTTAACATTACACGAGAAAAGACACGCTAGTGTGAGAGGTCGTGTAACTCTCCGACTTGAAGAAAAACACGTTTTGACATTACACGAGCAAAGACACGCCCATGTGGGAGGCCGTGTAACTCTCTAACTTGAAGAAAAACACATTTTGACATTACACGAAAAAAGACACACCCGTGTGAGAGTTACGGGAAAGACACACCCGTGTGGGAGGTCGTGTAACTCTCCGACTTGAAGAAAAACACATTTTGACATTACACGAGAAAAGACACACCCGTGTGGGAGGCCATGTAACTCTCGACTTGAAGAAAAACACGTTTTAACATTACATGGGCAAAGACACACCCATGTGTGAGGCCGTGTAACTCTCGACTTCAAAAAAAATGCATTTCTTAATTACATGATCAAAGACACATCCGTGTGAGAGGCCATGTAACTCTCGACTTTGAGAAAAACACATTTTGACATTACACGAGCAAAGACACGCCCGTTTGAGAGGCCATGTAACTTATCGACTGAAATTTTGTTAACGAAAACCCTAAAATTTCATTTTTCTTTCCTTCCTATTTTCCTTTATCTAAGTCCATATCAACCATAAATTCACGCACCATGTTTTGGTCAGCCCAAATTCTATCATTCTCATCCCCAAACATGAATTAAACTATATATAAGGCATCATTAGGGTTTGGAAAGCAACCAACACAATTAATCACTACAATCAACCATATCCATAAAATTACAAGGCAAGCCAATTAACACCATTAATCACAACAACACATCATAAGCCAAGTAACACAATTATTTGCAACAAGTTTAACCAAGTGTATAAAGATTAAATCAATGTTATAAAGATGAAATGACTGATATAAACAAGAAAAGGTAACCCACTTACTTAGATGGATTTCGAGTAGGACTTTTCCTTAGCTTTTCCTTTCCTTTCCTTTTCTTCTTTTTTTCTTTCCTCTCTTTTCTCTCTCTCTTTGCCTTATTTCTTTTCCTCTCAATTACGTTTTTCTCTCTTTTGGCGAGTTAATAATCCCTTTCCAAAAAATCTCTGCCATTCCTTCTTGTTCTCTATATACATATGTCTTCCTTTGCTTTGCATTAAATAGGCCTCTAAGTGTCTTGAAGTAATTGGACAAAGTGTAAAGTATATGGGTGTGTCATGGTGAAGGTGGCGAGGTTGAGGTGGCAAATTGGTGAGTTGGATTTCATGCCTTTAATTCAAGTGCTTAGGTGTATACTTAAGCAAAATAAGTAATTCAACTAACAAAGTCCCTTACTAACTTGTTTTCATCGACCAACATTTCTTTCCCCCACAAAATTCAGAATTTCTTTTCCCAAAATTCCAACGGTGTTTCATCAAAACCCAACTGTACTACAATGGACATAACTCGTTATTTATAAATCTAAAAATTATAAATTTTAACTAAAGATATTAGACACATAGATAAACAACTTTTATGCTTTAAGTGTTATCCGAAAATCAATCTAAAGTTCTCAAATAAATCACACAAAATTCGGACAAAATATAGGCCTCAAAACACTCGATTTTGCATAATTGCTTTCTTTAAGAATTAGACCATTAATCTCAAGCACAATAACTTTAATATAACATATATCACACATTTCAAGTATTAACTTTTTATGTCTGTAATGAGAAGTATACGTACACTTCATAGATATACGGATATATAACGAGTCTCATACACGTCGCTTTACTGGTTAAGGATTTTCTCGAGGTTTACAATAAGTGCTTGTATCTCATTGGCTAACTCAAAGTTCATGGATGCCAATTGATTCAAGAACCTTTGGAAGTCACTTAAATGTACCGAAGCATCTTCATCATTTTTGTACTTTAGGTTTACAAGGTCTCTAATCATGAAAGCCTTGTTTTCTCGCACTCTTCTTGGCAAAAGTTTCTTCCGAAGAACTTTCAAACTTTATAGAAATCATGTTTGTAAGAAATATGGTTGATGAATTTTGAAGATATCAATTTTCTAACAGCAATGCAGCTTTTCTATTGATTGACTTCCATTTACCATTTTCCATATCGACAAGCTTCTTTCTTTCGCATTCAAATGACAAAGCCAAATCATTTTAATAAAGTTGATCATTCATCAATGTCTTCCATATGAGATAAATGAAGGAAGTAAGCATTATCATATTCGAATCTTTATTCTTCATTGTAATTACACAAGAAAAAAACCAATTTATACAATCCAATATGTTGGAAAAAGTCACATGTCTAAACCAAAATTACAAATCACAAGTCCCAATTCTTTTTTCTTTTTGTGCAATTAAAATCAGGATCAAGCAATTAATAATAATCAATGTGGAATAAATAAAACACATCCACAAGCAATACATAAATTTCTACATGAAAATTCCAATGCGAAAAAAAAACCATGAAATTGTAGTTCACTTTAAACCTTCCTCTATATCCAATAATGAGATACACAATTCTTTTCTAGTTCAAATTGAGGATACACTTCAAAAATTTAAAACTATCAACATCAAAATGGATTCCAATCATAACAATAAAGAAAAAGATAATATCTTCTGAAATGGGTTTTTAGGAAATACCAAAGGTAGAAGCTTTTCAACAATCGATACTATTCAAATTAAAAGCTCGATGCTAGAAACACCATATTAAAATTTCACCTTAGCTCGATGCACTTCAATTATTTGGCTGCTGCTCTTTTTTTGTTTGATGCCCTGATTAAATGTGTGCAGACTTAGGCACATGCGTGAAGAACCTTTAATTTACTATTCGATTTTTATATACATTTGATTTGGACAAGGAGTGGTCCAACCCAACAGCTGGAACATGCTTTTCATCCCATCCCTTCACGTGCTACTTATTTCCTTAGGCTTTTCCAGCCACAATTTCCTTGTTTAAAGATGCGTAGTGCAGCCTTTCTCTAAGTCACAAGTCTCATTGAAAACTCAACAGAGACAACAGGTTGCAACTCAATCTAATTTATTTATTGGCAATTTGAACTTCGTATTTTTGGTTAAGTGTTTTTAATAATTTGAGCTCTTCTCGTATATTATTTTCTTTTCATGTGATCAATAGTATACTTTTTTTTCATATATAATTTCATGCATTTTTTTTTTAATAATACTGTATGATATGTAAGAACATCGTATTTTGTTAATACTATTTAACATCTAATGAGTTGATTCAGATAGTATGGAGAAGATTCATTACCCTTGGTGTTGGAGGTTTAAATCCCTGCAGTAGCTTTTTTTTAAAGATGTTATATATGCCAAGAAAATATAATGAATTGAAGGTAAATTTTTTATCATTTCCATCCAAATGATTTCAGAGGCAGCAAGATTCGAATATATATTGAAGAAGGTGCTCGAAAAGGGAATAGACGGATCATATAAACCCGATCCTAAAACGCTTAACTTAGAGAATAACTGGGGCAAGATATCTGAAGCTATTCATAAATCCAGTAGCGCTGGAATCATTTCCCCAGCACTTCAATTAATCGATGCCAATAACAAACCTTGGACCATTAATAACGTGAAAGAAATAGCTCCCGACATTGGGCTCTTGAAGTTCAAAGGCTAGAAGCAAGGATCTCAGTTTTCTTGAAGTTCTGCAAATGCCATATATCTAGTATCGTAAATAAATGGCAACAAAATATGTGTTATTATGGATTAAGTGATCTGTAACCTTTACGTGAAAAGTATTTGAATAAAGGGAAATGCTATAGTATCCATTTCATATACATATATATGTAAATGCCATCCCGCTGTTCTTATATAACTATAAATGTCGCTACTCACAAGTGACTTTTAGCTTCCAAAAGCAATCAATAATAATCAATGTGGAATAAATAAAACACAACCATAAGCAATACATAAATTTTTACATGAAAATCCCAATGTGAAAAAAAAAAAAAAACCACAAGACTGTAGTTCACTTCAAACCTTCTCTATATCAAATAATGAGATACACAATTCTTTTTTATTTCAAATTGAGGATACACTTCAAAAAATTAAAACTATCCACATCAAGATGGATTTCAATCATAACAATAAAGAAAAAGATAATATCTCACCAAATGGGTTTTAGAAAATACCCAAGATAGAAGCTTTTCAACTATCAATACCATTCAAATTAAAAAGCTCTATGCTAGAAACAACATATTAAAATTTTACCTTAATTACCGGTCAATTAAGGCTTCAAAGACAAGAATGCCTCTCTCTCCGTCTCTTCCGGCCAGCCTTTTTTCTTCTTTCGTGCAGTTGCACTTCTATTATTTGGCTGCTGCACTTCTTTTTGTTTAAATGCGTGTAGACTTAGGCACATGCGTGAATAACATTTAATTTACTAGTTGTTTTTTATATACATTGGATTTGGGCAAGGAGTGATCCAACCCAACAGCTGAAACATGCTTTTCATCGCATTCCTTCACGTGCTACGTGTTTCCTTAGACTTTCCCGGTCACAATTTTCATATTTAAGGACGTGTAGTACAGCCTTTCTCTAAATCACAAGTCTGATTCATTCTCTCGTCTTAGAAAACTCAACAGAGACAACAGGTTGCAACTCAATCTAATTTATTTCTTGGCAATTTGAACTTCGTATTTTTGGTTAAGTGTTTTTAATAATTCGAGTTCTTCTCTTTATATTAGTTTCCTTTCATGTGATTTGCTTTTTTTCATATATAATTTCACACATTAATTTTTTTTTTTTTAAATATAATGCTGTATGATATGTAAGAACATCGTATTTTGTTAATACTATTTAACATCTAATGAGTTGATTCAGATAGTATGGAGAAGATTCATTACCCTTGGTGTTGGAGGTTTAAATCCCTGCAGTAGCTTTTTTTTAAAGATGTTATATATGCCGCATATCTATGTAAAATTAGTTCCACTCGCAGAGATATCTGATTTGGGCTCCAATTACGTGCATTAGTATCTTTTCAGAAGCATGTCGGGGTGAAAGACATCAATTTTCTAAAAGTAAACTACATGTCTAGAAATAGGCAACATAATAGTGGATTATTAAATTTGAAATGTTTCTTAAGAGAGATTGGACATCCTAAATGCGTTGTGCGCTGTTTTTCTTTTTGGTGCATTTTTTTTTAACTTCATTAATCAGTTTATTTGTAATCTGAACATCTTCATGTATTTTGATAGCTGAAGCTACAGAACAGAAACAATGAAGGCGTTTTTTCAGATAGCAATATGGGTTTGGTGGACTGTCATGATCGTGCCAGCATTGGTGTGCCAGTCAGCGATAGAAGAAACAAAGGCACTCAGTTACAGCAGAGTAACCTTCAACTTTGAAGGTGCTACCACCAAAACCTACTCGGATTTTATGACATCACTTCGAAATCAACTCAAAAGTGGATCAGTGCAAGGATTACCAGTGACGCGGAAAACAGTAAAAGATACCGAACGATATCTTTTAGCGGAGCTCAAAATTAACAATCAAAATTCCGTCACACTAGCAATAGACGTCACCGATTTGTATGTTGTGGCTTATCTTGATAAATATCAAGGGAAAGATCGCGTGAATTTCCTTCGTGATGCTCCTAAAGTTGCTCGGGATAATCTTGTTGACAAAGGAGCAACAGTTAGAAATATTGGTTTTGGAGGCAGCTACAGAGAACTTGAAGGGGCTGCCACCGGTAGAGAGAACATTGAATTGGGAGTTACCAAACTACAATATGCCGTCCAGTCAGTCTCTGGGAAAGCACCGGCCAGTCTCACTAAGCAAATTGAGGGTAAATTTTTTATCATTTCCATCCAAATGATTTCGGAGGCGGCAAGATTCGAATATATATTGAAGAAGGTACTCGAAAACGGAATAGACGGATCATATAAACCCGATCCTAAAACGCTTAACTTAGAGAATAACTGGGGCAAGATCTCTGAAGCCATTCATAAATCCAGTAGCGCTGGAGCCATTTCCCCGCCACTTCAATTAATCGATGCCAATAACAAACCTTCGACCATTAATAACGTGAAAGAAATAGCTCCCGACGTTGGGCTCTTGAAGTTCAAAGGCTAGAGGCAAGGATCTCAGTTCTCTCTAAAGTTCTGCAAATGCCGTATATCAAGTATCTTAAATAAATGGCAACAAAATATGTGGTATTATGGATTAAGTGATGTGAACCTTTATGTGAAAAGTATTTGAATAAACGCAAATTCTATAGTATCCATTTCATAATTTAAATGCCATGCCGCTGCTCTTACATAACTATTAACTGTCGGAACTCACAAGTGACTTTTAGCTTCCAAAAGTTGTTTTATAACACGTTTCTTTACATCGCCTTTTGTTGAAATTATTGCTTCATTGATTCGTAGGAATATGAGCTTATCATATATTTTATAACGTTGACGTATTGCTAATATTAAATTATTGCCTTTTGGTTAATATTATTATTTTTGTTTTAACTTTGGCAGCTTCTTTCCTATGTAATTAAAAAAATTGCCAAATCTCGTCGGTTCCAGCAACTTGACCCAAAAATTGTTGCTTATTCATAAGATTGGAAATGTTCTCTTGATATCGTTGTAGAATTCCGGCAGAAAGTGGATTACATATGGTTCAGGGATGAAGTGCAGACTGCCCACATTTTGTTTTACCTAAGGGTTATTCCGACTTGCATTGAACGCTTGCCTGGCTCTGTATTTAGCAGAGTTGTCATTCCAACAATGTTCTTAATTGTATCCTATATTTAAGAACTAAATAGATTCACTAGGAAGCTCTGTTCTTACATAGTGCGTTCCTTACTATAATTGCTATAAGATATGTGGGACATCCAAATGGAAAAGTAGCTCGAGCTTCACATGCTATGTTTGCAGCTTTCATATCCTCGGGGAAGGACAATAATGAGAATGAAAAAGCATTACTGAAGGAGCAACTTGCTTTCTACTACGTGCAGAGATCTTTAGCAGCATGTAAAGCTGCTGGAAACCAAATTTTTTTTTTTTTTTTTTTTTTAATAAGATTACCATATTATTATGAGTAAATAGTTGAATCTCAACCTGTTGATTTTTCTTTTAACGTAAATCACAAAATTCATTCCTCCAAATCTTTCTCATTCCATGTGTAATAAGGGTTCACAATTCCACAATCCCTTAATAAATATTTCATTAAAACTTCCGTAACAAAGCGTCATCAATTCATGGAAGAACTTGTCAAGTCTGGAAATCGTAATATGGACTGGTAAAATGTGTCGTTGATGATAGAACTTCAGGGTAAGAGCACAAATGTTAATTTAGGCAATCCAATGCTATTAACGCAACAGCATAAGAGGATCATAAATCAATTAAGGGTTTGAGATTTCTGGATAGATTAAGGAAAGGATCAACGCTGTAATCCTTCCATTGCTTGTTTGAACAGGAGCAAAAGCCAAAAACATGATGCTAATGTCTTGTTAATTAGTTTCCACAACACTCAACCTTCGAAACTATAAATTTATTCAGAGCACAAATTGTGCTAATTTAACCGGGAAAACTAGTTGCATTAAACAATTGGCATTACCTAAGAAAACTTGGTTTCCGCTTTTAAGTATTATTAGCAACCATTTTCCTAAACTAAAATTTTACACTTTTAAAAGAAAAAAAAATTCAAATGAATGCAGCATACAGATAATATTTTGGGGGAAAAAAGAAAAAGAAAAGAACAAAAAAGAGTAGCGCAGGGAATATGATTCTTCTTCACAATATCCCTCACCAACACGCCCACGCATTGAGGACGAGGAACAGGCAGTAGATCATGCCATGAATTTATGTACAATATACAAATTAATTTTTTTTTTTATCAAAATTAAATAAATAAAAACAAAAGAATTTAGAAAAGTACCTTAATTGATGATATTCATATGTTAAAGCACTTTTTTAGTAATTGTGATTTTGAATTGTGAGAGTATTTGAGTTTTAAGAAATTAAGACAAAGACAACAAAAAAGAGACAGAAAAAACGTAAGTTAATTTTTTCTTTTATGTTTCTAATTTTTTAAAATTATTATATTATACTTAATTAAAAAGATGACATGGATGCCTACATGGCAAAACTACTATTTTTTATCAATAAGATTTAAAGTGTCTTGTTTTGAAAAAATAGAATAAAAAGTACCATATTTAAGGAAAAAACTCCAAAAATCCTATAATCCAAGGCCCAAGTTAGGTCTAATTTCAAGCTAAACCGAAAATTCTAAAACCAATAAAATCCGATTAATCTGATAAAAACTTAAAGAATTTGGTTGAGTTGATCATTGATCCAGTTGAATCCCAATCAGTTTAAAAATAAATAACTAAGAGCTTTTTATTTTTCACTAAGAAAAAAATCAATAACATATCTATGGATAAATCCAATAACTCGTTGGTTGATTCCCTTTATAAGCACTCATGAAAAACAAAATTCAACCAATTATATGGTTCCTATCTGCTTATTATGCCTTATTCAACTAATTTTTCTTGCTTTTTTTTTTTTTTTTTTAATGTACTTTGTGCGGTCCAACTTCAAATATATGAAAGTTTTTTAAGTTCATTCTTCAACATTTTCAAGCTTAAATTAATCACTTTTCATTTTAATTAATATTTTTACTCAT